GAGAGAGAGAGATACAGAGAGAAAGGTCTTCCTTTTTCCGTTGGTTCACCCCCTAAGTGACTGCTATGACTGGCGCATTGCGGCCAGCGTGCTGTGCCGATCCAAAGCCAGGAGCCAGGTGCTTCCTTCTGGTCTCCCATGCGGGTACAGGGCCTAAGGACCTGGGCCATCCTCCAGTGCACTCCCGGGCCACAGCAGAGAGCTGGACTGAAAGAGGAGCAACTGGGACAGAATCCGGCGCCCAACCGTGACTAGAACCCGGGGTGTGCGCCATAGGCAGAGGATTAGCCTAGTGAGCCGCGGTGCTGGCCTGATAGGAGGTTTTTGATTATGAGTTAAGTCTCCTTACTCATTGTTCATCTGCTCAGTCTATTTCTTCATGATTCAGTCTTTGTGTTTCAGGAATTTCTTCTTGTTGGTATATATATGTATATAGTAGTCTCTTATGATCCCTTGTATGTCTGCAGTTATTAGTAATGTCTCCTCTCATTCATAATTTCATTTGAATTTCCTCTTTATCTTGGTCTAGCTAAAAGTTTCTTATCATTTAAAAACTGAATATTGCTTGTGATCTTAGTTTTACTGATCTTTTCCATTGTTCTGCCTCTGTATCATTTATTTCTGCTCTGATCTTTATTACTTACTTTTTTCTACTGACTTTGGGCTTAGATTGTTCTAGTTTCTGTAAGTGTAAAAGTTAGGTGATTTGATATCAATTTGTCTTTTTCTAAGGATTTATTTATTTGTTTGGAAGTCAAAGTTACAGAGAGAAGGGGAGAAACAGAAAGACCCATCCACTACTTCACTCCCCAAATGTCTGCAATAGCCAGGACTGGGCCAGGCTAAGCCAAGAGTTTTTCCAGGTCTACCACATGTGTGGCAGGGTCCCAAAAACTTGGGCCATCTTCTTCTGCCTTTCTGAGGCCATTAGCAAGGACCTGGATCAGCACTGGAGCACCTGTGATACAAACCAGCACCTCCCATATGTGATGCCAGTTTTACAGGCAGTGGCCTTACCTACTACACCGTAACTCCAGTCTTGAGATCTACTTTTCTTTTTTTAAGATCTATTTATTTATTTGAAAGTCAGAGTTACACAGAGAGAGAGGCAGACACACACACACACACACACACAGAGAGACAGAGACAGAGACAGAGGGAGAGACAGAGGAAGGGGTAGATCCTCTGTTTGCTGGGTCACTCCCCAATTAGCCACAACGGCCAGAGCTGCACTGATCCGAAGCCAGGAGCCAGGAGCTTCCTATGGTTCTTCTCACGTGTGTGCAGGAGCCCACAGACTTGGGGCATCTTCCACTGCTTTCCCAGACCATAGCAGAGAGCTGGATCAGAAAGTGGAGCAGCTAGGTCTCAAACTGGCACTCACATGGGATGCTGGCACTGCAGGCGGTGACCTTATCTGCTACACCACAATGCTGGCCCCTTGATTTCTTTTTTGATCCTTGGTTGTTCAGGAGTATATGGTTTAAACTTCCACATATTTCTGAATTTTCCAATTTTCCTCATTATGGATTTCCAGTTTCATATAATATAAGAAAAAGACACTTGATATGATTTCAATCTTCTTAAGCTTAAGCCTTTTGTTGTAGCCTAACATATCCTCAGTCCTGGAGAATGTTCCATATGTGCTTGAAAACAATGTGTAATCTGCTTTTGTTAGAAGGGATTGTTCCCTGTATGTATGTTAGGTCCATTTGGTTTATAGTATTATTCAAGTTTACACTTTCCAGATTTATTTATTTATTTGAAAGGCAGAGTTGTTTTTTTTTGTTTTGTTTTGTTTTTGACAGGCAGAGTGGACAGTGAGAGAGAAAGACAGAGAGAAAGGTCTTCCTTTTGCCGTTGGTTCACCCTCCAATGGCCGCTGCGGCCAGCGCACCGCACTGATCCGAAGCCAGGAGGCAGGTGCTTCTCCTGATCTCCCATGGGGTGCAGGGCCCAAGGACTTGGGCCATCCTCCACTGCACTTCCCTGGCCACAGCAGAGAGCTGGCCTGGAAGAGGGGCAACCAGGACAGAATCCGGAGCCCCGACCGGGACTAGAACCCGGTGTGCCGGCGCCACAAGGTGGAGGATTAGCCTATTGAGCCGCGGCACCGGCAAGTTTACACTTTCCTTATTGGGTTTGCTGTCTGGATAATCTATCCATTGTTAAAAGTAGAGTACTGAAGTCCCATAACTTTTTAATTTTTTTAAAGATTTATTTATTTGGAAGTCAGAATTACAGAGAGAGAGGAAGCAGCAGAGAGAGAGAGATCTTCCATCCATTGGTTCACTCCCCCAGATGGCTGCAACATCTATGGTTGGAGGGCTGAAGCTAGGAGCCAGGAGCTCCTTCTGGCCTCCCATATGGGTGGAGGGCCAAGCATTTGGGACATCTGCTGCTTTCAAAGGCACATTAGCAGGGGGCTGGACTGGAAGTGGAGCAGCCAGGATACAAACCGGTGCCCATATGGGACTTTGGCATCACAGGCAGTAGATTTACCTGCTACGCCACAACACCAGCTCCAAATTTCTAAAATTAGAGATGCTTCTTGACTTACAATGGGGTTATGTCCAGATAAAACAAAGTTGAAATATCTTAAGTGAAAAAATGCATTTAAGGTGTATAGATGGTACAGCAGTTATGACACTACTTAGGATACCTGTATCCCATTATCAGAATGCCTGGGATTGAGTCCTAGTTCCACTCCCATTTCTAGCATCCTGCTAATGACCATACTGGGAAGCAACAAGCGATGGCTCAAGTAGTTGGGTTCCTGCCATTTACATGAGAGTCCCAGGTTGAGTTCATGGCTGCTAGCTTTGGTCATGTGCAGGCTGGCTGTATGGCCACTTGGGGAGTAAACCAGGAGATGGGACAATCTCTGCCTTTCAAATAAACAATAAAAAGTTTTTAAAACTTGAATTAAAGTACATTTAATACATCTAATCTACTGTGATTTAGCAACACAGTACACTCTAGATTACTGGTTGTGTGAATGCATGGCTGACTGAGTTGTGACTCACTGCTGAGCACAGTGAGACAGTACAGTTCTGCATATCATTAAACCAGGGGGGAAAATCAACATTTATAGTTTCTATTGAATGTATATTACTTTTGCACCATCAAGTTGAAAAACTGTTGTCAAATCATAAGTCAAAGATCATCTGGATGGATGGATGGATGAATGGACAGATAGATAGAAGATACATAAGCAAAAATTCTTTGGCGTCTTCAAACATTTTCAAGAGTATGAATGAATCTTGAAACCAGTTTGAGAATCACTAATCTATAACAGATCAGTAATAGACTAATCTATTTAGGTGGGTATGGATGGAAGTTTTTTGTTACTACTACTATCTCAAAAGCCTAGCAGAAAGCTTAATACATAGAAGTCTCTCAATAAATGCTTATTCAGGCATTTTTTTCAATAAATTGATTTATTTAATAAATATGTCTTCAGAGTTTCAATCTATCTGGGAAGAGACACTCAATATATAAGTTGACAAATAAATTTTAAAGATTATGGTGAGGCAGCTGTCTAGGCAATAAATGACAGGTTGCTGAGCTAGCATGGCAGCAAGGGAGATAGGGAGAAGTGAATAAAAAATATACTTTGAAGGCAAAATAGACAATTCTTTCTGTTGATTTGTGTATGTCAGACAAAAAAAAAGGGCATCAGAAATTATTCCCATACTTCTGGTTTGGACAATTGGGTAGATGGAAGTGTTTAGTGAGTCTTCAGATGCAAGTTTGTGCCAGGAAAATGCATAAAATCAACAGCTCTTGGGCTATGTAAAACATTTGAGGATCCTGAAGAGGTCTCTGTTAGGGCTCTCCAAGTCCACACATAGGTTTGTTCCATACATAGTCAGATCAAAATAAATAACTAATTTACAAAATCAGTAAAGGAAACAGTTCTTCAGTATTTAGGACTCTTGTGTATACATTCAGGACTGGGTAGGTAAATATCTTCACATACTAATTTCCATATAGTTTCTCAGTAATGCAAATCTAACAGATTTTCCTTAATAAGAAATTTACTTGTATTTTTTTAACCCTTTCAAGGAGTTTCAGGACAATGCTAAATAATTTGGCAACCAATTCTTTCACAAAGTTTGTTCTTAAATCCAAATATTAAAAGATATAAAATAATCCAAATCATTCCCAAAAGTAATTAATACCAGATTAAAATAAGCAAAGAATCACCCTGGCATGAATCAGATGTTATAAAAGGAAAACAAATCAAGTCTAACAGACAGTATTTAGGTTCAAAAGTATAAGAGTTCCTGTACCATGCAAAGAAGGCTTACTTCCCCAAAGTTGAGCTCACATGCCCCTGTCCAACAGGGCACAGGGTACCCTTTCTAACATTCAGAAGGCAAGTTATAACATGCTAACCAAAGTACTGTACTTTATTTAGAAAATCTAGGGTTATTCATCCATTTTTTCCCCTTAAACTGTTTTACTAGCCAGAGAGCTTTAATATTGAACTGAGAAAATGGTAGACATTCATTTATTCAGCTATTCAATAAACAGGTATGAAGTATCAGTTACATACAGATAGGAATACAATGATAAACAAAGGAAATGACCTAGTCTGCCTTCCTGGAGCTTATTGTCCACTGTTGAAGCAAAGAAACAAAACCATGAAGTCATAAGCTGTAAATGTGATGAAAAATACACTGTGCTATAAGCATACACCAGAGAGCTTGTCCTGTCCCAGTTAAGAGGAAAAGCATTCTATACCTAGTTAACAGTGTGCATAAAGGTTATGAAGATAGAAAGGAATACAGAGACCTGTATAGCTAAAATATAGGGAGGTATAAGATAAAATCTAGAGAAATAAAGACAAGTCAGATTCTGCAGGGCCTTTTAAGGACTGGAGATCTCTGATAATAACAACCTCCAGCACACTACAATAATTCCTCTAGATAAGACCAGCGCTCAAATCTTACCCGGAGACCCTGTAAAATGGCATGGCTTCCACTCATACTCACCTGTCAACATCACAGGACATGACTAGAATGATAAAGAGAAGTAATCTGGCTCCCACAATACAGCTCATCAGGCCAGGAGACCAAATGCATTCTTATCTGGTTAAAGATCCACCAAAAGGTAAACCTAAATGGGGGAAACATGACAATCATTGAGATAAAAAGAAATATAAATCAGAAAGAAGGAAAACATTTGGAGATAAAGAGATATAGATTTTTCAAATACTAACAATGGCCAAAATGTTCTTAAAGACAGGACTGACTAAGTTATGGCATGTAGCAGGTAATAGAAAATTCCACAACCATAAAAAAATGCAAAGGCTCTTATGGAATTATCTCCAAGTTATGTTGTTAAATAAAAAAACCCAAGGTGTTAAACAGAGAACATAGCATGCTTCATTTATTAAATATGTATTATATATATATATTTGCTTCAATGTACATGGACTTTTGAAGATGTTCACAAAACTAGAGATGCTGGTTATCTATATGGAGGGAAACTCAGGCTGGGAGATGAAAAGTAGGGAGGAAATTCTCACACAAATATACCTTTTGAATTATGAGCCATACAAATATATTCCATATTAAATGTTACAGCAAACATGTGATTTTAGACTGATACATATAAAAATTTTAATGAAAAGTAACATTTTGAAGGAAAATAAAAATGATCAAAAGTGACTACTAAAGGAATAGGTAAAAAAAAAAAAAAAAAGACTGGGAAAAAAGTCTTCTTCCAGAGAATCTCCATGTGTTAAAGCCTTCCAGTACATTTTAATGACCTTGTACCCTTCAGGCTCCAAGACATACAAACTACTATTTATTGAGAACTTCTTGTATGCTGGATACTTCATCAAGCATTATATGTATTTGCAACTCATCCTCATAACATCTATGAGACAGGCGTCCTTACACCTTCTATTTCATATGTAAGGAAACTGAAGCTCAGAGTCGCATACCTAGTACGTGACTCCAGAGGTCACACTATTCAACCACTATGCTATATAATTCTATGCTGATAAGCTGGAAAACCTTAAAGAAATGCATCAGTTATCAGGAAGGAAAAAATTACTTGAAACCACAGTTTGATTGGAAGTGTCCTTCCTTTGAATAAAGGAATAAATTATTCCAAGTCTAGCAAACTGTTTCAGGGCACTGAAAAAAGGCAGAAAATGTGCCAATTCATGGAAGTAAATTAGAAGAGTGGCTTTTAAGAACATATTTCCTACAATGAAAATCTGTTACAAGAATAGCTATCCTGTATGGGGCTCCCACTTTACCAGGTACTGGGTTAAGTGCTTTAAAAAAGATCTGGGCACCACTTGGAAAAGTTTGCCAGTTCTTCAAAAGGTTAAACATAGAGTTCCCACATGACCAACAATTCTTCTAGCTGAAAGAAAAGCATGTGTTCACAGAAAATGTCCATAGCAGCATCACTTAGAATAGCCAAAAAGTAGAAAAACCCAAGTGCCCATCAGCTGACAAATGGATAAATAAGACGTTATATCTACACAATATTATTTGACAATAAAATTACTAATACATGCCACAGCATGAGTCTGAAAACACACTAAGTGATAGAAGCCAATCACAAAAGTCCACATATTATGATTCCATTTATATGAAAGGTCCAAAATTAGCAAATCTACAGGAAGTAGATTACTAATTACCTAGGGTAAATGGAAAAGGGAATGGGAAGTGATGATGTCTTTTTCAAGTTATAAAAATATTCTACAGTTTTTTTTTCATAGAATTTGTTGAATTCTTTATTTAGTGTAGGGTTAATCTTTTTTTTTTTTTTTTTTCATATTTTTTTCTACAGGCAGAGTGGACAGTGAGAGAGAGAGACAGAGAGAAAGGTCTTCCTTTTGCCATCGGTTCACCCTCCAATGGCCGCCGCGGCTGGCGCGCTGTGGGCGGCGCACCGCGATGATCCAATGGCAGGAGCCAGGTGCTTCTCCTGGTCTACCATGGGGAGCAGGGCCCAAGTACTTGGGCCATCCTCCACTGCACTCCCTGGCCACAGCAGAGAGCTGGCCTGGAAGAGGGGCAACCGGGACAGAATCCAGCGCCCCAACCGGGACTAGAACCCGGTGTGCCGGCGCCGCGAGGCGGAGGATTAGCCTAGTGAGCCGCGGCGCTGGCTTAGGGTTAATCTTATGTGTATAAAGTTAATTGAAAATCGATCTTAGTAAAAAGTAAGAATGGGAATAGGAGAGGGAAGAGGATGAAGGATGGGAGTCTAGATTGGAGGTAGGGTAGGATGGGAAAGAATCACTATGTTCCTAAATTTGTATATATGAAATGCTTGAAGTCTGTATACCTTAAAGTGCAGGTGGGAGGGAGGGTAGAATGGAAGAATCACTATGTTCCTAAATTTGTGTAGATGAAATGTATGAAGTTTGTATACTGTAAATAAAAGGTTTCTAGGTTAAAAAAAGTTCTAAAATTGATTGCACTGATGATTGCACAATTCTTAAAGCACTGAACACTACCAAACTGGGTTCTTTAAATAGGTAAATTGTATGGAATATGAATTGTATCTTGATAAAGCTGTCACTGGGGCTGGCACTGTGGTGCAGCAGATTAAAGCCCAGGCTGCAGTAAAAGCATCCTGTATGGCCCAAGTCCTTGGGCCCCTGAACCCATGTGGGAGACCCAGAAGAAGCTCAGCTCCAGCCATTACAGCCATGTGGGCAGTGAATCAGCAGATGGAAGACCTCTCTATATATAACTCTTTCAAATAAATAAATAAAAGCTACTATTAAAAATATGTATCTAGGTACATTCTTCCAACAAACTTAATGAAACTGAAACTAACATACTTGTTTTACAGATGAGAAATCTATAGCTCAGAGAGGACATTACCTACTCAAGGTCACAATCTAATTAGCTGAGAAAGCCACGGTTCAAATCTAGATCTCAGTTTATACTGCTGACTACCTCCCAACACAATCCTATGCAAATCCTGAAAATCAATACATGGCCCTCCTTTATTGAGAAAACATAAACTGATGACTAACAAGGTTCATGAAGGCAGATTCCTAAGAACAAATTAATTCCTATAATGATATCCAGCACTTCAAGCCTAGAAAAAGAGGGAATGCTGCCCATTTAAGAAGCTATAAAGTGACTTTCAATTTCAAATTGGTCTCACTTTGAGAGTACCCTGGAGGATAATAAAAACAACAAGTATCATTTATTAAATTTTACAGTGGGTCAGACCTGGCATCAAGCACTTTATGTGAATTATGTTTAGTTATAATAACACAGTATGAGGTAGATGCCATTGTTACCCAGGTTTTATAGATGAGAAGTTAGTTTCTTTCTCTAAGTTATAAACTAATGGGTGGCAGAGCTAGGAATCAAATTCAAGTCTGTCAAAGTTATAAGCCTGAGCTCCCAACCACCACTGGAGTACATTTCTAGGCTATTAAATTTGAAAGCCACAATGAAATGGATCTTTCTTGAAAGGAAGGAAGATAATAAAAGCTTGGCAAATGTCAAGAGAATACTTTCCTAAAATGTGCTCTAAGCCTGATTCACTACTTATAGGTTATATTATTCACACTTCCAAGGAACAAATAACTACTATGCTTTATAAATTGTACCACTTCAGCAATATGAGACAAAAGTCTTTCATCTTAACAACAAAGCACAGGAATTTTCATTTGAAAATAATAACAGCTAATATTGAGAACTTAAACGTGCCAGGAATGTTTCTAAGCACTTATAAATAACTACAGTCTAAGGCAGGTGCTATTAATAATCCCCCCCCTTTTTTTTTTGGATAGGCAGTTAGACAGTGAGAGAGAGAGAGAAAAATGTCTTCCTTCTGTTGGTTCACTCTCCAAATGGCCGTTATGGCAGGCGCGCTGCACCGATCCGAAGCCAGGAGCTTCCTCCTGGTCTCCCATGCTGGTGCAGGGCCCAAGCACTTGGGCCATCCTCCACTGCCTTCCCAGGTCACAGCAGAGAGCTGGACTGGAACAGGAGCAACCAGGACAGAACCGGCGCCCCAACCGGGACTAGAACCCCGGGGTGCTGGCACCACAGGCGGAGGATTAACCTAGTGAGCCGCGGCGCCAGCCAATAATTCCTATTTTAAAGATAGGGAAAAGGAGGCACAGGAAAGTTGGATGACGGGGCCAAAGTCACATGCGAGTAAGTAGCCAGGATTAAGACTCAGGTCCATCTAGCTCCACCCTCTAGCATTTTTCTCTCCTCTCTCTCAAAAAAAAAAAAAAAAAAAAAAAAGAGGTGGTGGTGGGTACAACATTGTGGAAGACCATTCCAATGTATTACAACCTAACAACCAAACGAGGTAGATTCATTTACTGTCTGTTTACAAGATGAAGAGCATAAGGCTCACAGTGATGTGGCCTTGTCGAAATATACTGTTAATATTTATCAGAAAAACCAAGTCTTTCTGACTCCAAATTACACTAGTCACTATACCATGAAACTCTATGCTTCAATCAGTAAGCTACAGCCTACAGGATAGCCAGTCCACTGTCTTTATACAGTCCACATATAAAATGTTTTAATCAAAATAAGGTTAAATTTTTTTTTTTAAAAAGCTATTTCATGAAATAAGAAAATCAAATGAAATCCAAACTTCAATGCTCGTGAAGTTTTATTGGACACAGCCGCACTCATGTTTTTGCATACTGTCCATATCTGCTGTCAGATTACAAGGGCAGAGTTGTGTAATTTCAAAGGCATACCCACAAAGCCTGAAATATCTGTTACTTAGCCTTTTAAAGAAAAGGTTTGCTGACTCCCACTTGTTGGAATTTAAAATCTTCCTGGAGGGAGAGAGTAAAACAAGTACCTCCACCCTCAAAAAAAGAAGAAAAAGCATGGCTTCAAAGATTAACTACAGTAGGAATGGAAACTTCCTTTCAACTTTCAAGGAACAAATAATTTTTCTGTTCCACAAAATATTCCAAGGTTTAGAAAACAGTGGAGAGCTTCCCAGATCATTTTAATTAACTGGTTCATAGAGGTTTACAATCCCTAAGCTGTTTTAATTGGAAAGAATTCTGCATAATGAAAATAATAACAGCTGACAGTTATGGGACTTTCCCCATGCTGCCAGATTTCTACTTAACCCTCCTGACAACCAGAAAAGGTAGCAGTGCCATTGTTATCCAATTCTGTAGATGAAATTGGGGCCTTGGGAGGTTAAACAAATTGCTCAATGCCCTATAGCTGGTAAGAGTTCAGGGCTCCTAACTCTTGTTTCCACCTTTAGAGGCTATAATGTAATTCTGAAAATATTAAGAGGCTGCATAATTTCCTGAAAAATATGAAGTTATAAAACCATCAAAAATTCTTTGTGGGAGGGTTTAGATTTCTGACCAACACCCACAGAGTAAATAATTATGTGCCACAAATTGATTTCAATCATAAAAAAATTGGGCTTCTCAACACATGTTAATATCCTAGCCCCATGGGTCACAATTGCACTCACCTTTTTCTTTAATCCATCATCCTGCCTCCTCAAATAAAAATATCTTAGAATTGTACCTATAAAATACATGAAAAACAAAGTCAGCATCGTTACCAGACTTTCAGCTAGTAAATCTGCAAGTCCTAATTAAACAAGCTACATCCAGGGAAAACAGAAATTGGCAAAAACTGAGCCAAAACTTAAGGGGGAAGCAATGGGGAGCGACGTGCCTATAGTAACTCACCTAAACTCCCAGCAGAGCCGTTCTGAACCAAAAATATCTCGCTTTACAGAGGTTAGCACCAGACTCTTGATACACGCTGCAACCTGGATTAACCTCACCAGCGTTACGCTAAGCGCAAGTCTCACAATCACAGGTTCCCTTCTCACGAACAGTGCGGGAAAGGGAAATCTTTAGTTATAAAGTGGATCAGCAGCCACCAGGAGCTGGGAACCACAACCCACCGCAAATGAGCTCGAGGGCATCGGGGGGAGCGGGCTGGGAGAGGTTGGTAACAGAAACCTTCTCCCGTGGGCCGCGTTCTCCCGTGGACCGCGGTAGTGGTGGCACACCACCATTCTCTAAAGCACACTGGGCTGGACACTGGGGGTTACACCTCACTGAAGCTGTTCTCACCTAAGGCCTGGAGCCTCACACCTTCGCCCAGCCAGGCGGATGCTCATCGTTCAAACGCCAAGCTCCAGGGAAACACGGGTGTGGAGTGGGTGCGGGGTGGCGGCACGGGGCGCGTGCGGCCCCCGACTTGGCCAGCTCTCCCCCTGGAAACTGGAAACCCTCCGCGGGGCCACCGACTCGGGTGGGTGAAGGAACCGAGCCTGTGCAAACTGGCGGGCCTTCGAGACAGGCCTGCGGCCCAGGAAGGACGCCGGCGGGGTCTCCACAGACAACGCGACCCTCGGGGGCTGAGGAGGCCCCCGCCTTCGTGGACGTCCACGCGCACGCGTAAAGCCTTCGCGACCGCGCAGCGGCGCCGCCCTGTGCGCATGCGCCGGGTCCCCGCCCTCGGGGCCAGGCCCAGGCCGCGAAGTCGCAGTGGCCGCTTTTCGCCTGGCGTTACCGTCTGGCGGGGCTGCGTACTCGGTAGAACCGGGACTTGTCTGTACCCCGAATCACGGTGTTTTAACGTGAAGTGCCTCGTCCGTCCGCCGAGGACTGGGATGGCGGCCGCAGCAGGCCTTTCCGGGTCGCTGAAGTGGCGCGAGCCCTGCCCTCAGGGTGTGCCGGAGCTGACAGAACGGCGCCTTTAGACGGGTCACCCTCATGGGGGTAAGTTTCAGTGTTAAATGTCAGCTTCAGAATCGTGCTTACTTATGTTTTTGAATAAGTTGGCTGTGTGGTGTAGAAAAGATACCCTGCTGGTGGCGGGAAGGGAATCGGCCCTCACGGACGCGTGCCCGCGCAATTTCCACTTCGCCCCGGATGCCGGTGACGTGGAGTGGAACTCAGGGATTCTCAAGTGGCTGAATGAATGACGCCTTTGAAGAAAGGCGTGCAGCGTCAGGGGTTACCGTTTAGTGAACGATCGGATGGATGAGCTGCGAAGTCCAACTCTCCGCTTGTCACACAGCAGCCTGGTGTGAGAAGTAGAATTGCCAAATAAAAAATACTGGCTAAATCATTAAATGTGAATTTCAGATAAACTTTTTCTTTTTAAGTGTAAGTGTGATGCATTTGGATATACTGGGTTTCTATATTTTATCTGGCACCCTAGTGATAAGGCAACGTGTTGGAGGGGGAATAATTTCATTTCTCTTAGAAAAAGAATTAGGAGCGAAAAAATGGTACCTGGAATTTATAAATAAGTACCTCCAGTTATGAAGCAAGTCCAAAGACGCTGCTTGAGAAACTGGTTTATAAAGTTGTTCTGAGAGTTGTATTTACATCATCTCAAACCTCCCACACAATGGGACGATAATTATTTTTATCTTACAACCGTGGAAAGAGGCTCAGCGCTAGGAGCTCTCTTACCCAAGTTCTCACATTTTCATTAAGCCATCCAAAAAATATTTATTATGAGCTGACTATATGCTGGGCCGGGATTTCAGTTCCACAATCTGCCTCCAAATATGGAAAATTCCAGGTTCTGCCTATTGCTCAGCCTCCCTCCCCTTCCCCACTCTAGTTGCAGTTTCCATGGTAACAAACTAAACCTGCCTCTATAGCTAACAGGAGCTAAGAGCTCTTGAAAAGGGATAAATCAGGACAACTGACATCAACCTAGCTTGGGGGGGGGGGATGGGTAGAATTTCCTGAAGCCCTAAAGTCTGCTGTTCCCCCATCACAACTGTTATACATGTTATATACGTGTTAGAAACTGTCCTTGTGTGGGAGCTCTGCCGTGGAACAAAGGTTGGCCATGTGGAACCTCTGAAGACCTCATGGTGTCATAGGTTGACAGTTCAGAAGCTGCTGAAACACTAGTGACCCTGACTTTGTGCATCCTTACTATTTATTAACTATCATTCAACCAAGAATGACTGGGGCTGTTGGGAGCTTCACATGTCAAACACTTAAATCCCGTGGGCATGACTGCTATCAAAACAGACATGGTCTCTTTCCTCCTTTTCCATTGATACAGTGGGACATTTATTTTTATTCTTCAATATATTCTGAAGACCCTTTAAGTGTCAAACATATGTTAGTATCTAGGGGATACAGAAATGCGGTAAAAGAAAATGCTGTTCTGCATGGACATTGCCCTGGTGGGAATGAGTTAATGCATTAAGTAGATAATCCCAAGAACAAAAAATATTTATGGAGAAGCTACTGTGGTACTAGGCATTGCTTTAAGCAAGGGAACTACTGCAGTGAAAAAAGTAGACTTGACATCTGTTCTTAAGGCACTCACATTCTGGTTTAGGAAAGATATATATATATAAAATTATTATACATATAAATATTAGAGTGTTTTCAATTACAAGAAACAGAATAACAAACTTAAATTGACTTGAATGAAAGGAATAATTTGTTAGCCTAAGTAACTGAAAATACCAGAGGTAGACTTGTCTCACCAGTATTCATGAACACAATTTATATTGTTGCAGACTCTGTAGTTTTTCTGCCCAACACTTCCTTCCCATGCTTCTTGCTACAGAAGCCTTCTTTGTTTGGGGAACCAGTTAGCATCTGAATCAGGCCTGGTCACTCCATTCTATTGCCATGCCTACAGAAATAGGTTCAGGGGTTGTCACAGGCCCCAACTGGACCTGCCAGAGACATTTTCCTGGGACTTTTTATTGGAAGCCATGAGGAATGATATCCTCTTTCCTGGGTGTCTGATCTATGCCCATCTTTTCTGCCTATTAGGGAAGAAAGCAATAGTTAGCACCCTCCACTCTCCTTTCTGATACTTTTATTAGGTAATGCATGTAATGTGCTTAGCACATGGTAAAATCTGAAAAAAATGTTAGCCAATCTTACTAGTGATTTACAGAAGGGTGAGTAAAAAGAACGTTCTTTATAGAGACTGGAATATACACTTCAGATTGAAGGTATATCAGGAGATGACTTTTGAGAGCATGAAATGAAAAAAAAAATGAAGGTATACGGTATAAAAGAATGTTTCCTCCAGGCCATGATGGAGGTTTTATGAGATATTTAGAATCATCATAGTATATACTTCTGTATATTAACATTGTGTGGACAAACCCACTCAAACATTCACTGAAACCTTCCCTGAGTAAGTGTCTGCAGAATAGAAAGTAAATTAGACATGAACATTAAGGACTACCAGAGAAGTCAAGGACTAGTAAGAGTACTGATTCTCTGAGCTTATATGACTCTCCATTTATAAGACTGGAAGAAGATGGGGCAAGCCTTATTTGCACATTGATTTATGTAAAAATTATATTAGAGCATATATAATATGCTAGGTATGTTACTAGATATAAGAGAGATTGTGTTGAACTAACTTGATGTCTTTTTTTTTTTAATTGGGACTTAAATCAAGTTACAGTCATTGGCAAACTTTCAGCAAAAGACCAGATAATAAATATTTTGGCTCTGAAGGTTATACAGTCTCTTTTGATACTATGCAATTTTGCCGATTTTTTAAAGATTTTACTTATTTTTTTAACGATTTATTTATTTCTTTGAAAGAGTTACACAGAGAGGAGAGGCAGAGAGAGAGAGGAAGAGTGAGGTGGGGGGAGAGAGAGAGAGAGAGAGGTCTTCCATCTGCTGGTTCACTCCCCAGTTGGCCACAACGACCGGAGCTGTGCTGATCCAAAGTCAGGAGCCAGGAGCCTCCTCTGGGTCTCCCATGTGGGTGCAGGGGCCCAAGGGCCATCTTCCACTGCTTTCCCAGGCCATAGCAGAGAGCTGGATAGGAAGTGGAGCAGCCGGGTCTCAAACTGGCACTCATATGGGATGCTGGCACTGCAGGCCAGGGCGTTAACCTGCTGTGCCACAGCACCGACCTTTTTATAAAACGTCAATTCTGCCATTTTATGCAAAATCTGACATAGATGTTATGGACATTAATGAGCAAGGCTGTATTCCAGTTCATTTATTGATACTGAAATTTTAATTTCATACGTCAGAAAATATTCTTTTGATTTATTTTCAACCATTTAAAGATATTAAGACCATTCTTAGTTCATGGGCCATGTGAAAATGTGCAGTGGATTTGACCTATAGACACAATTTGCCAGCTCCTGACCAAATGGGAAACATTTAAGTGTATAAGTAACTGTATTGTTGCGAACTTGTTTTGCCTTGTGGAGTTTATCACTCCCTTCAGGAAGTACGTATTCTTTCCTGAATGGAGGGATTGAGAGCATGAAATGAAAAAAAAAAATGCATGTTTTTTTTATCATTTTTTATAGACTCGTTTTTCTCTTTTTTTTTTTTTTTGTTTGGCTTGTTTTTCACCCAATACTGGGTGTCTGAGAGATCTTTCCAAGCCACATGGCTTCAAAGACTAACCTTGAGTCCTCAACCATAAACTTTCTTCTGGATTCCTAAACATTTTATGAGGGTACTTCAAACAAAAATGGGAAATGGAATAAAAAGATTAAGTTTATTTGGTACAGAAACATTTTAAAATCTATGGATGGCTTTTTTCATAATATATACATTTCTTTATCTTTTTGAAGTCCCCTCATAGGCGTGGATTTCAACTTCTTGCACTAAAGTAAACTGATCTTTAAATTTCATTTTTATGAACTTTTTGAAGTACCCTCATATCCACTTACTACTTGGACATTCAACCAATAATCCATCCCAAGAAAAATTCAAAAGTGATCTATCAAGGCTGCCCCAACCCTCCCTTTAAAAAATTCCTGCTACTTAACAGTTCTTTCTATCTCACAAAAGGTGCCACTGGTTGTATAGGCCAAAAATCTAAATTGACTCCTCTCTTCCTTAATCCCAGCTTCAAATTCATTAGTCCTCTCCCAAGAATATATTATTTACCTCTCCTGAATCACGCAATTCCTGCCTTCTCTGACCAGTCTTTCAAATAAATAAATAAATCTTTTTTTTTTTTTTTAAGTCAGAGTTACACAGAGAAAGGAGAGACAGAGAAAGAGAAAGAGGTCTTCCATCCACTGGTTCACTCCCCAATTGGCCACAACGGCCAGAGCTGCGCCTATCCGAAGCCAGGAGCCAGAAGATTCTTCCAGGTCTCCCATGTGGGTGCAGGGGCCCAAGGACTTGGGCCATCTTCTACTGCTTTCCCAGGCCACAGCAGAGAGCTGGATTGGAAGTGGAGCAGCCAGGTCTAGAACCAGTGCCCATATGGGATGCCAGCTCTTCAGGCCAGGGCGTTAACCTGCT